CCCCAAAACCCCAAAACCCCAAAACCCCAAAACCCCTTGTCTAAATAATAATTTTGAAATGGGTAATTGTTGCATTTGCGACCCTAAAGAGATAGATCAAAACAATTTCAATATCAATAGCCAAAGCTCTGATCAGAGCACTGCTCACAAAATGATGGATAATGATCATACTATTCCTACCGAAGGGATATCTTTGTGCACTGCTCAGACTTAGAACAAGATGATCTAGGCAGATTGAGATGAGAAGGTTTAGTAAAATTTAATCTCTTGAATGGCTAGATTTCTTTAAACCAGCTCATAGATATCTTTGACTTTAGAAATCCAAGTCTGTTTAAAATAAAGCCCGAAGATTTTAGTTTTAAGTAAAAGCTTTCGCTTTGTATCAATGGGGATTATCAAAATCTGATATCAAAATATTAGAAATGTTTTGAGATATGAGAAAATTATACCAAATAAACACCTAAAGAAAGGATTGCATAATTACAATAGCTTTGCTCTTCTAATATGGTCTATAGTGACAATAGAAGAACTATCGATGTAACCTCTGCAATGCAGAAGCAGACAGAGTTTGAGTATTCTGACAAATTCGACAAAGAGACTGATGATAAGCCAAAAGAGAGACTACCAGAGCAAGTACTAGAAGGCGGTTGAAAATACAACGGAGAATGGGCAGAAGGGAAGATGCATGGAAGAGGAACCATGACTTGGCCAGACGGTTCTAGATATGACGGTTATTGGAGGAACGGTAAACCTAGCATCTGAGGAAGAGTCATCCATGCAAATGGAGATGTCTACAAAGGAGCCATACTTCTTGACAAAGCTAATGGCTATGGCGACTTTTACCAACTTGAAGGAGCAGAGTACTCAGGGTCCTGGAAAGACAATCTTCAGCATGGTAAAGGTCAAGAATCTTGGCCAAATGGCGTCCAATATATTGGTGATTTTAATAATGGCTTGAAAGAAGGCATAGGCAAATTTATTTTTGCTGATGGAGCTGAATATCATGGCCAACTTTACAATAATGATATTCATGGCAAAGGCACTTATAAATGGCCAGATGGCAGAATTTATGAAGGTGATTGGATAAAAGGAAAAATGCATGGTAAAGGAGTCTTTACATGGAAAAATAACAGAAGGTATGAAGGACAATACATAAACAACCTCAAGAACGGTTTAGGAACTTTTAGTTGGCCAGATGGAAGGATTTATATAGGCCAATGGAAGGATGGAAAGCAAGATGGTTACGGGAAATTCTACCAGCCAGAAGGATTAAAAATCCAGGAACAAAAGAACGAAGAATTCACTCCTAAACTGCTCAATAAGTATTCTCTTAAAAAGCAAAATTCCAATTCCTTCCATGGAACAGTTAGCGAAAATATCGATGATAACTTCCAATATGGCAAATGGAAGGATGGAATACGCGAAAGATGGTGAACAAGAGAAGAAGCTCTTGAAGGAGGATTCTCTTAAGCCTTTTCTTCTCTTTATTTAACGGATACTTATATGTCTTTGAACCATAATATAATTTTAGCAAATCATAAAATTAATTCTTCAATATTTATCAGGCTAATTGGGGTTTTGGGGTTTTGGGGTTTTGGGGTTTTGGGG